TCGATCGTGTGGCCAAGAAGTTGCGTGTTCCCGAAGATCATGTCTTCGCAAACAGACTTATCTACAACGACGACGGTATGCATTGCTGATAGTTGACAATTGCCCATTCCTAGCATTTTGGCAGCTATCGTCGTACCCTTGTTCGTTGTTTTTCTTTCTCCGTTCAATTATCTTTGTGACATTTGTCGAGTGGCTTTCTTCGTTGAGTCGCTGATGTCTATTCGCGAATAACATAGAAAGCTCAACCATGAGTGTGTTGTGCAATGCATCCAAATCACTTCCTGTGTGACTGGAGTAAAGGATGGGTAGATTTCTAACGCAAAACGGGATTGAACCGCTAGTCCAACTGATTCACTCGAATTTATTCAGCCATCTGAACGCATCCTTCCAATGCAGGAGAGTAGTACATGAGAATGAGGTTTTCTGAACAACTAGAGCGTGTCGGGTCGTGTGATGCGCGCCCATAAAAAACGCGATGACCCCAGTCGATACGTGTTTTGGCCTCTTGACTAGCTAATGTGTCCCAGAGGCGATGCGCAAACGCTTACGAGGACAAGGCGCCAAACCACCTTACCTATTTGGATATTTGATTTGTCGGTGTTTGGTCTTAGAAATAACCCAGCCAGCAGCTGCTCGCCCGTGGGTTGTAAGAATGTCGCAAAAATTTGAAGTCTCTTTTGGAACAAAACTAATTTGTGGAGCTTGGCCAAATCGGAGTATTGTATCTTCAAAGTCATCATAAATCGTAAGAACCAGGAAGGTAGCCTTTTTATTAGCATTGCAAGACTGCGATCCCGACAGCGTAGACAGCATGACCAGAGGCCTACGACACTGGCGGACTAGTCCAATCGCAGAATGGAGGTGCCAAAATGAAACAAGCGTCATTCTACACTGCTATTGTGAATGTTAATAGGCGTGGTGGTGGACTTCGACCGGCAGCAGCCGACCTCCCGTTCGGACGGAAAGAAAGAGGTGGTGGCGACGATCAAATCTCAACTGAGTGGCGACGAATCGAAGATGGTAGGTGTATTGGTGGTGGGTGACGGGGTCACCGACGCTGCCGCCTGTCCTCCCGCCGACGCCTTCCTAGGCTTTGGCGGTGTCATCACTCGGCCCTCCGTACAACGCGCCACTCCCTTCTTCTTTCACTCTTTCGACGAGATGCACACATTCCTCCAGCACTGTGGCCTCATCGCTCACTCATCTTAAACCTCTTTTACCGAATATACGCTAAGGGTCGTCTCAACTCTTTTTCCTACTCCATCGTTATTCGAGTACTTTCTAGCACGCGGTAAGAGCCAATTCAGAGAGGAGGGGTTGGAAGTAATGATATTATATAAGCACAAAGTTGCAAAAGTTACTGCATAGATACATAGCCAGGGGATCTTATTTACATTCCTACATTCTGCTTGTCCTCCAGCTTCTTTTTGACTAGCGCCTTAAATTGCGCCTGCAGTTTGGCCTCCCGTTTGGCTCTCTCGGTGTGGTTGAAGCTCTCAAGAGCTCGTTTTTCATCTGCTGAGTAGATCTGGTTCTCTTTCCGTAGTCGCACTGCCTCCATACGGTGATGGCGACTGCCCGACATGACGTAGCCGACTTGCTCGAACTTCTCAATCTCCTCTGAGGTGAGACCGATCTCGCCACGACGCGGAATGCGCTTGCCCTCTGCGATGTATGCTGCCATCGCAGCGCCCTCGCCGGGCAGGAGTGCCTTACCGTAGTCAATTCGCTGATTAGTTGAATCCGCGCCGTTGGCCCCAGGCAGCACCGGACCGATTATCTCAGTCGCCTCCTCCTCCTCCTGCCGTTTTCTCTCCAACTCGGCTTTTTTCGCTTTCATTTGTCGTATGAATGATCTCGCTTCGTCCTCCTCACTATCAGCACTGGAGGAGGACGGTGAGGACGAAGTCGAGGATGAGCGGCGGCGCTTCTTCTTTGTCTTCTTGTGATGGTGTCGATGATTGTGGCGGTGGTGCTTGTGCGGTTTACCCATTTTACTCTCCTTCTCGTGATTCTTTCGCTTCTTTTCAACGTTTCTATCGGAAGAGGGGGTGGAGGGAGGTAGAGGGCCTTCGCGAGTGAGTTCGAAATATTCATCTTCTCCTGAATCTGTGTACGGTTCTTCAGGAGGCGATCCCCAGATTTTTTTATTCCCAGATGCACCCGCATCTTCTCTGGCCTGACGACGGTTTTGCCAAAACTCCGGCGTCTGATAGCCTATTTCGAACGGTTTATATTTCCGGTTTTGCTGATGGTAGTAATCACTATTCGATCCCTTGAATTCATTACCAAATGGTGAGAGTGAACGTTGCCGATGCCTCGAACGGCGGCTCTCTCCGAAAGGAGATCGAGATCGATCACGGTGATGAGATGAACGATGTTGAATTCGGGTCGACATTGTGCTGAAATATACATGTTTTTGGAATGCAGGCGTTAGAAACATGTTGGAAGGACATTAGAAATCAAAATACTACCATATACACTGATAACGGCATAAATATGGGCTTATTGGGCGGTATGGGAAGCCATAGTACCGTCTCCCACCAGATGTTGGTGACTCCCTATTTGAGGCTGCAAAAGAAGCGGCTTGGGGACAACGCAGTAAAACGTCATACTGGGAAGTCATATCATTGAGAGTAAGGTGCTCTACCACTAGATTTGCAATTTTTCGCAATTTTTTAATAAGTTAATGCGGAAACTCTAATGCTTTGCAGGTTTTTTATGCTACTGTTCAACTTTCAAAAATTTTTCCTGCCAATTTCCATCAAGTACGCTTACTTTTACAAATTGGGGACTCTATCATTCTTCAATTTTTTTCGTTCTTTAGTTCTTTTAATTTGATGCACGCCTACGGTCCTCCTAACTGCCTTCCTGTGCTCTAAATAAAACCCTTTCCCCATTATGCATTTGCAAAGCCTATTTCCCTTCCTCTTGCTGATCACGACATGGTACGAAATCCAGGTGAGTTTTTTATTCCCAAGGCAGCATGCCTGGGCTTCCAAACTGCCCCCAACAGCACACCCTGTCACCCAAACGAGAAGACAGCGGGCGCAATAACACCCTTATACCTATACAGACACCTAGTAACAATGTTGAGTAAATAGACACTTTGGACGCGTGTTGGTGGTCAAAAGCTATGCGTTCATTATCGTTTTAATCCAATATATAGTCGGTGGTGTGCGGGGTTATCTGTTAGAGCTCTAGAGAGATTGGGGATGTGAACGAGCCGAGGTTCCAGTGGAATTCGAGCATCGCCAGAGGCCCCGCCAGACCACCGCACTCGCACAAGATGGTAGCGCCAGCTGGATGTGCGCGCAAACGCCGCCTCAGCGAGGGAGATCTCAAAGAAATCCGGTCTCCCTTCACCTCTAACTTCCTCCTCCATCACACCCGTCGACTTAACCTCCACGTAGATCGGACCGACCAGAAGGAGGTTTGGAGAAGTTGTGGATTGTCGGATCAGACTACTTCTCACCTCAGCACTCAGCTCCATTCTTGCTGTAGACATAGAACCATTTACTAAAAGAAAGGAAGAGGAAAATCACAAAGTGATGAGGAGAGAGAGACGAACAGAGTACCTTCGAGGAAGATTATGAGGTCATAGGGAAGCCACGACTCTCCATCGCCATTGACCCATCGAACCTCAACCAGGCGACCCGAGCCGAGGAGTGGATGGCCAGAAGGGAAGTTGAAGTCCTGGTTTCTTCTTATCTGCTCTAAATAAATCTCGTACACTGACTGCTCTCCCATTCGACCGATGTCCATTTGGTACGAGGAGGAGTGAGCGGAGCAGGAGAGAATGGAGTCCAAGCCTGTGGAACACGCCAGCAGATCGTCTCCGAAAAAGCTCGAGCGCACGGAAAAGGTAGACGTCGTCGACACACTCGGGCCACTTCCGTGTTCGGAGGCTGTGAATTAATCAAAAGGATATAATTTCGACCACAAAGAGGCTATAGCGTAGGTGCGTAACCAAAAAGGAAGAAAAGCATTCGTTGAAGCATTTTTACTGAGTCGCTAATGCACCGCATTTGTCCTATGCACTAAAAGTGCCACAAAAATTATTGAAAAAGTGAGATATAATTCCAAGATTCCATACTAATGAAATAAAACAGATATTGTCAGCTACACTTGTACGGATTCATAAAATGTAATTGGTTTTCCAACATATTCGACGGACGAGATGCATAGTCAGTATCGATACGGGGAATCGGCGCACCATCTACGGAAGCTATCAACGCGACTCAAACGCCATCTAAGGATGTCATGACACCTCTAAATCGCAGTTTCCCACATTTTTACAAAATTTGTCAAGCAATTCACATGGACTCCAGTGATCCACAGCTATCACCCACGGACGTGTCTGAAAATCCCAAGCGTTGGGGAATAATAAGGGGTGCCACTGCTTACCGAGGGCCGCGAAGATAGGAGTCTGGAAGCGGGTTGAGCAGCCGACACTCATGTGTTCCTGTAGGTTTTGGGATGATGGTCTCGGGTCCAAACGTGCTTCGACAACGGGATTTGTGGATATGAGTGGGGTGGAGATGGTGGCAGGAGAGACTGGAGACGTCGCAACCGGCACGAGACGATGGATGAGATTGGGGAGACAGTGACTACCGCGGGGAATGCAATGGGAGAGAAGATAGGTGTGCAATTGACGCATCACCTCTTTCCTCGGCAATGAGGACGACAATAGGGATGTCCGCAGGCTTAGGAGACCCCTCGCGAAGTGCCTGCAGGATAAGGGGAAGAGTACCGAATGATCTTATGATTCAATAAAGCATGCCTAGAAAGTACAAGAGATGATTTGATGGAGGCTTTAAAAGCATGCTTGACCCCTTAAAGGTAACCTTAAAAGCACTTCTAGCAGCAACGGAGCTATCGTTTTAAATTGCTAATGTCATTTAATTCAAGATGGTTTTATTTGAAAAAAGACAATAGAAGGTATGTTCCCGGAGATAGGCTGCTGTAAGCAACATCATGCCGAATTCGGTGAATCTTCAACAGTTATGGATAATGCTCACAGGAGAGAAATCTGAGCGCTGCGGTTGGTTGGAAAGACAGCTCTGGTCAACTCCGTCAGCACCACGTTACAAATTGATCTGCGGGCTCCAAAGAGGAGTGAGGTAGTGCCGTCATTGTCGTCACCGATAGCAAAATCCACCTCAAAACGTTTGTCCACGTAGAGCTTGCCCTCCCAGAAACGACAGGCGACGTCGAAGAAATTCCACTCCTTTAACGCACCTAGTGGCCTGCTGATTGACTGAACGAGCGTCAACCTCACCATCAAATTCGGCAGCTGGAAAGGGATGGACACATACGCATAATTAGGTATCGGCAACTATGCTGGTGATGGCCACTTTAATATCGAAAAAAGTTTATACGGGACCACTATATGTTAATGATAGCCCAACTGTTAACTCTAGTTGCTAAAGACGGGGTGAAAGAAGTGACTATACCAGAAAGGCGTCCAAGGTGTCGTCTGAAGATGTGGCAGTGGTAGTGAAAGCGGCTGCGGCATCGGTAAAGTGGTGGTGGGCATTGGTAGAGGAGAGCCAGGTAAGAGTAAGGAGACGGAAATCTTTCACCAGATGGTTGAGGAATGGCGACGGGACTGCGAACCTGAGCAAACTACCCTCATCAACTGGAATGCTCTGCGCCTCAGACAGTCCCACGCTCTCTGTCACAGACTTCTCCAGAACCTGGGCGGGGGGGAGAGGGGAAATAA